ATATCGCAGCCAATACGATGGCAAGATTCCAATCCAACTAGAAATCCAGCAGGAAAACAAGCATCGTGTGTCGCAGGCTTTACTTAATTAATGATTTTTTCAGATATTAACTTCAAGTTAGAAGTACCATCGCGGCGTACCCTTGTCAGAAGAATTAACGATGATTATAATCGTATTGTGGAAAATTTAAAACAGATTTTACAAAATATTAAGTATATTTCTACAACTGCCGACATATGGTCAACTAAGCATAAAAGTTTTATGGGCGTTACTGCGCATTGGGTAAAAAATTAACAACATAATTGTAAAATAAAATTAACATAAAAATTAATTTATTGTAGTTTAACTCAAAAAAGTCTTTAAAAATTAACAACAAGATAAAAATTAATTTATTTTAGGTAACTCAAGACCTAAAACGCGGCAGTTGTGTTTTAGATTGTCGCAGATTTAAAGGAACGTACTCGTATGATAGAATAACTGAAATGTTTCTGGATATTTATTCAGAATATGGCTTGAAGCATGAGCAAGTAATATCTACAATAACCGATAATGGCTCTAACTTCGTTAAGGCTTTTACAGAATTTGGAGTTGCACAGGGTATCTTCATTGTAATTTTTATTTTTATTGTAAATCTTTTGTAAACAGTAAAAATAGTAAATAAAAATTTGGACTTGGTAAATTTATCAATTATAACAGAATTTCTTTCAATTTGATTTACAACTTGTTCTAAAGTTATTTCTTATTAGATAATAATTTAAGTATTTCGAAAGAATTTAATTTTTAATTTCTGAATTTTATGTAATTTAGATACAAAAGTCGCTACAGTCGCTACAGATACAGATACAGATACAGACCACATCGATGATGAAGAAGAGGATACAATCGATTTCAAAATAATTTCTGATGAACGCAATAATGCAACACATGAAACATCAACACCATATTTGTCAATGAACATGATAAATGATAATAATCTTTTATTACCACATCATTTAAGATGTGCAAGTCATACTTTGAATTTGTTGGCAACAACTGATTTTCACAATGCACTAAAAAATTCTACAGTATCTAGAATTCACTATGCAGTATTTGGCAAATGCACTGCATTGTGGAATGCAACACGGCGACCAAAAACTTCGGAAATAATTCATGATTAGATTGCAGCATTGCCTTAGATTGCAGTTTAACCTACCCTTGTCCTACAAGATGGAATTCTTTATATGACGCAACAGTTCAGCTCCTAAAATACAAAACAAAGCTAAACAATTTAAATTTAAAATTGAATTTGTGTGCTTTCAAGGAGATCGAACTAGAATATTTGGAAGAATTTTGTCTTTTAATGAAACCTATAGCAACAGCTCTAGATTATCTTCAAAAAGAAACAGATTGTTTTTATGGTCAGTTGTTGCCTACATTATTTTCATTAAAAAAACGACTGCAAAATCTTCAGGAACAAAATCTGCGACACACCGGTTTTATTCTATCTAATTTACAAACTTCTTTGCATAGACGATTTGTAAAATTTTTCGAATTATCTCCAGAAGTGAATGAAGCAATTATTGCTTCATGTTTTCATCCATTATTTAAATTAAAATGGTTACCAGAAAATTTAGAATCTGAAAGAAAACGCATTCTAAATTTGTGTGTTAATTCTATGGAAACAATGGAAACTATGTCTGATCAGACTGGTACTAGTACTAGTGATACAGACGAAGATTTTTTCATTTTTTCTTATCCAAAAACAGAAAAACAACAATCTCTGCAACAATTAGAGTTTGTATCATTTTTAAATGACAAATCAAAGTCTTTATCTTCTTTAAACAATTACTTAAATGTGAAAAAAATGTTTATAAGATTTAACACAAGTTTATGTTCTTCTGCAGCTGTGAAGAGGCTATTTTCTTTTGCAGGGTTTATTCAATCACCTACAAGACAATCACTTTCGGACAAATGTTTCCAAAAATTAATTTTTTTAAAAGGAAATCGCACTTATTTTAATAGAAACGTGGTTTGATTAATTTTCAGTTCGTTTTCTTTCTGTGATCGTAGTCAAGACATTTATGATAACATTGATACAAAATCACTCTCAATCACTGTCGCAAACTGTTTGTGGCAAGTGTGAAGTGACATTGTTTTTTGTTCAATTACTATGTTATGCTCTCAATGTTTCCTGCCAACTTTTGTTTCGAAGGATTATACTATGGGTGCGTTCGGGGAGCTCACTACCAGCGCTATCGAATAGTTTTATCTTTGTTTTTCGTCTAATAAACAACAAGGATAGAGTGATGCGGTAGTGCTAGTAGTGAGTTCCTGAACGCACCCTATGTTAGAATTATTTTGCTGTAATGTTTAACAGAAACAAATTAGTTACTATGTTCCAGTCTTACTTTATGTATTTACAATAAAAAATTTGGAAATATTTTGTATTTTATATTTTGTATGAAAAAAAATATTTTGTATTTGAAATACAAATTTTAAAAGTATTTTGTATTTTGTATTTTAAATTAAAAAATCGAAAGTATTTTGTATCTTGTATTTCAAATACTAAGATTGTCAGTATTTTGTATTTTGTATTTCAAATACTTTAATGATGTATTTTGCCCAGCCCTGGTAACCGCGATACATGCGTCGCGTAGAATTACGCTAAAATCGAGAGCTCGTCCATCAGAGAAGAGAAGCGGTTACTTGATATCGCGTGTCGAAAACGTATCGCGGAGACCAGAGCGCTTGCATGCCGCAGAATCAATCCGTCTGCCTGTACGTCGGAAACTGTGTAATTGATTTAGAGAATATATTTGTTATTATCTCACTGTTATTAATTCCGTCTATTTTACTGTCTCGCCTTCTCCAAAAGATCCTCCGTTCCCGACCACGAACCACCCCCTCTGCCATTATCGTGGCTGAGTAGTCGGTTATTAGAGCCGTCCGGGTTCGTGAGTCTCTACACCTCAGTATTTTCGAATGAGAACGTACCGAAAAGATTTAAGAAAGAGGGGCACGCTCTCTCGTGCCTGGCGCCCAATCAGTGACGTGAAGTTTAGAGTATGTAAAATTTGAGAGAGCCGTTGTGGCGTTGAGCCTGTTTAATGTTGTCGTGAAGGTATCGACTAAAGAGAGGTAGAGCAATACTCGCGAACGCGCGACGAAGTGGCACCACGCTCGTGAGTGCGGTCGCAATTGTATATATATATATATACGAGTATATATTACAAAGGTATCCGCCAATGCTCCCACGGTAACGTCTCCGTCGAGTCCGGTACGACGTATCGTTTATCGTCGTATGGACTCAGAGCGATTTTCGATTCGGAAATCGTGTATACCTCGTGCAGTTTAAATCGTATACCATACACGATTGACGGCGAGTCATTTCTATCTCTTCGTTCAAACAACGCGTGTAATCATCGAACGTTATCGTTCGCGCTACGACGTTGCTCTTTACATCTTTCGCTTTTTTAGTGTCCTTTCCATCTACACGCAAGGCGTACATCTTCGCTCTGAGTCCAACGAACTCAGTCATTATCGCGCTATTGTTTTCATCCTTCATCAGACCCGGCACCTTCTTATTCGCGAAAGGCATACAGTACGCGTTGTCAGCCTGATAATCGCTCGTGTCGAACCTAGCGATATCGCGTTTCATCATCTCGTATACATCGCCGCATTCGATGTGGTATATAAGACTGTCTCTGTCAGTGTACATGATCTTACATTTGTCTTGATACAGCGGTAGCATATACTCGTGATGAAATTTGTACAAACAGACTTTTGATATGTCCAGGATACACATACCCACGTAAATCGGCTTGTCGAATTTCACCTCGAGTTTACGCAGTTCAATGGCGATCAAATTTTCAGAAAAAACGCTACGACTATGAAAATTCGGTTTCGTGATCATTGCCTCCGCGCCGTACCGTCCGTCCCATTTCGTTATCAATTTCACGTCGACGTGATTTCGAACGTTTTCCATAGTTTTGTCGAATACCGCGTTATTCATTAATTTATATAAATTTTTTTCGAAATCGTTTTTAGCGCGCGTTCTAAATTGCGTATTCAGTTCGATGTAATCACGGAGCCAGGCGGATTGAATGAATTGCAGCACCCTATGTATCTTCGTTACGCGAAGGTCGTGACGAGTACATTGCTGCAGGTTGCGATAGTGGATGACGTAATGCTGCTTATCGTACAGTGTCGCGAGAAGTTTATCCTCGCGCTTGCCGGGCGGCTTATCGCGCGTTGGGCAGAACGATAGGTCAGTGGCTACGTTTACACCGTGCATTTAGGTCGCGGCCTTACAATAGGGTAACCTCGGGTATTATGGCCATACGGAAAAGATAGCCATAGGCTATAATTTCTCCAATAATTGATAAATAGTGCATTTTTATAGTCATTTTTAAAGATAATCAATATTTACAGTAGTTCATGTGAGTACACTATTCAAAATAACAATATTATAAATATTATCTAATATTTTTTCTTTCGACTATCTGCAAAGTTTTGCACGTGTTTGCTAAAAACTGTTATAATGTCGAATAAATTACAGTTAAGCTGCCATAATCAACATTACATACACAATAAAGGTACATAAATTGCAATGTAACCTATAATTAATATAATACTTTTATTTTCATTATTTATTTACAAATACTATAGCTATCTTTCCGTTATAGTTAGGGTAAGATGGCTCACTTTTTTCGTGGTAAGTTGGCCGATGCAATCGACATCTGTCGAATAAAGATTGTGTTAGTATTGTAGGGAATGCTCTGTAAAATCCCGTTAATTGAGTAATTCTGGGATTGTATGAAGATTGTAGGATAATGTCAGGAGGATAGAGATTAAGGAAGGTAGTAAGATAAATCTTCGTCACTTTGGGCATTGACTTTATTATTAACACTTCCTTGTTGTACTCCAATTTACACGAATTAACGAGTAATACTAGAATCGCACTGATTCGAACTGAATCGGTATACCGTTAGGTAAAGAACCGAATAAAAGAACAAAGAGCTGACGAGCGTCTAGAGAGCAGAGTATCTCTCTCTTAGGAAAATTTAACGACTCGTGCCGTTGTGCCGAATTACACCGGTTTTATTGCCGGTTGACTTCACGTACAGCGTGCGTGATCTGCGCGTCGCTGTATGCTCCGTTTTCCGCTTTCGTAGTAAACGCAAGTCGGTGCAGATGTCAGCAGCGATTGGAATATGTTATAAATGACTTATGTTAGCAAATTTCTTACA